TTTTTTTTTTTTTTTTATTGACTCCCGTTAATATTCGGACACTAAATGTTGAAACTGTTATAATTTTGTAGAAAGAAATCAGCAAACTTGAGCACATGTAAAAAGAAATCAACAAAATGAGTACAAAATAAAAATAGTACTAACTTGAACCTAACCTAAACTTTTATCATGAAAATGCATCCTTCAGTTTATTCTAAGATGTCTTTGTACTAAATAGCAGATGATAAAATAAAGACACTTTTCTTTTCGAAAATGCACTATATAAATTGTCATGGTATATAGTATATAGTATAAATTGTCATAGTAAGATCATTGAGAAATTTTTTTCGTGACTGAACCTACAACTGATTTGAAGGTTGAAGCCTCCTCTTTCTGAATGATCTCTCAAAACTTGCTGTACGATTTTTCCTCGCCGATTTGTTGAACATTGAATAACGCGAAATTACAATTTTTTTGAATTTTTGCCACCTGAGTTCGATGGCGAAAAAAAAATCCTGCATCAAGTTCTCGATCGCCGTTGTAAAATGGAAATTTCAATCTTCAAATCTATTAGTAGTTTTAGTCCTGAAAAAAATTCCTCGATGTTTTTGCATGCTGTGTGACAATTATTACAATTATTATAAATTATAGTATTTTCGACAATAGAGGTATCTTTACTTTCCAAACTCGCTACGAAATGCAAAAACATTTTAGAATAAAATGGACGATTCTGTCTTCATGCTTTTAACTCTTTGGGGTTAGATAGGTTAAAAAATGTCCCACCTTTTACTTAGCTTTTTATACATGGCAGGATATATTTTAACCTCGAAAAAAAGTTGAAGCTACTCATAGTTATACATTTCAATATTTTTTCCATTTTTTTTTTTTTTTTTATATTAAAAAAGAATTCTGTGCACCTTTGGTTTTTATTTTCTTTAAAATCGCATGCTTCGAAGAGTTAAAACGAGCCCAAGCTTGTTATTGTATAATGTTTTTTTTTTTTTCCACAAAATTACAACAGTTTTCGATGTTTAGAATTATGTCCGAATATTAATTCTAAATCATCGTACGTAGCAGAGGTCACCATTCAAATTTGTCAAATTATTTGATCGAGAATTAGTGTGGAAAATCGCTTAGAAATAGTTAGAAATTGCCACAGAAAATGGAGAAATAGAAAAATAATGGAATAATATTAAAAGCCTCTTTGTTTGTTCGAACAGAAACACGATTGAAGTATAAAAGTTTCGAGGATCGTGTAAGGTCAACGCAGACCTTCCTTATGCGTGCGTATGAATTGGCATACGTTCGTGCAAACAATTTTTATGGTGTGTAACGTAGGTAGCC